ACCTGCAGTAGTTTTTAATCTGTTTCAGCTTCACGTCATTGGTCAGCCTGTGAAACACGTGGGGTAAAATGATAATGCATTATTATAAATTAAATATTGTCTAGAACAGGGGTGTCAAACTCCAGGCCTCGAGGGCCGGTGTCCTGCAGGTTTTAGCTCTCACTTTCACCTTTACTGGTAAAAAAAATGAAAGCTATGTTGTGCTGTCATCTTTTGTCATGCTACAGGCTCTGACCTGCAGCTGCACTGGTGCTCAGCGCATCTCAGCATCTGGACCAAACCACATCTTGAAATCAGGAGAAGGGAGGCGGAGTCAGAGGCTGACTGGATTTGAATCTTTTTTCCCAAAAACAAATATTTTTCAAAGTACCCTGAGAAGCAAACGCTCTTTCATGGTGACTAATGGACTGTCCTGCTATTTCTACGGCCCCTGTCGATCATGGGCCCCCAGAATAATCATCACTTTTCTCCTCCATATGGCGGCCCCAGCCAATCACAAGCTCCAAATTTGCTGGTCCACTGAAACTTGCCATCTCTCCAGCTGATGTTCCAACCCCTCCACCACCGCTGTTCACATGCTGTGTGTCAGGAGTAATAAGCTTGGAGCCGAGATGTAAACTACAACTATGTAATAAATAATTTGAAATGTTAACTGTCTGAGTGAAATATGATTATAGCCACAGAGATGTAGAATAGAAAAAACCTCCTGCTTCCTTCCCTTCTAGAAACTGTTAAAAAATTGAGATTAGGTGTGTGACATTCTCAGATTAACCTAATGTATAAAATATAATTCATGTAATTCAGATAATGTTGCTTTCATGCTTTGAGTTCAGACTGGTGAGAGTACTGAGAATAACATGGAACAACAGAATTAGATTGTAAAGCCATGATCACGCAGTGGGGTGGCTCAGAGCATCCACTAATGAGTTGGTGTTTCTATCCCCGCCTGCTTCATAGGTGACACACTTAACCCCAAGTGTCTCCTGATGTGTTCACATGTGTGAATGTTAGATGAGAATGCTGCACGATGGGCGAATGGCACAAGCTGTATAAAGTGATCTAAGCAAAGTAGAAACAGCACCATGTGTCTGTGTGTTTGATACTGTATGTCAGCCTTAAGTGTCTTATGATAAATATCCCCTTTGCCATATCCTATCTACCTGCTAATGAGAAAACAGTCATTCCTTCTCCCCCTCACAAACACACACCTTTCTCCACCTCTGCTGTTATCTCTTTCTGCCAACAACAGGAAGACACTGTTGGGTGAAAGTCGGGGGAGAGACGAGGCTTTATCGTTGCTGATTGCATCTGAAGCAGGGTAACTGTCCTCATCGTCATTCTAGGACATGTCTGTTCACTATTTTACTATTTACCGAGTGGACCCTGTCAGCTTCAAAGCTCTGTCTGTAGCTTGTTTAAGCATCCCTCACTAGACCTGCCACTTTCACTTTTATAAGCTCCGCTGAACTCTCTGCCTCTTCTACTTCTGTTTGCACAGGTGGAGTTTTCATTGTTGGGTGAGCAGGTGAAGTTTCTGCAAATAGCCTGATCCTAAACGAGTAAGGCTCACACACTCCTCGAGACTCTTTCAATACAGTAACTATTGTCATCAGATCACTTCGAGTTAGCTTGAGAGGTCCAGAGACACTACGAGAAAGCCTCATGAACAAATGCAGAAACTACATTTGGAACAAATCTCATTTGCACATTCCCGATTTTATTGCACTGCTTTTTTATGCTGTTACTTTCCAAAATGTATGCAGTTAGTAGAAGATGTGGGATTTTTTACAAGAACAACAAGTTGTTCATACCTAAGGCCTTGCATATAAACACCAGGAGAATCCTGAACCATCTAAGACAAATTCTCAGTGGCAAGAGAACAATATGGGAACAGCCTCACCAAGGCTGGAGACAGAGCAATTCTGGAAAAGTATATGGGAGAAGCAACACATAAGAACAATGCTCAGTGGTTAGTGGAGCTGCCATAGCAATGTCCCTGAGCAGGCTTCAGTAACCATCACAGTGGCAGACATCCAAGCATGAAGAGTTGGGCAGCACCAGGCCCTGACATGATTCAAAGCTACTAGCTAAAGAAGCTAACAGCGCTCCATGAGCATCTGGTAGCACAAGTGAACCAGCTGCTAATAGATAAGACACCCCGAGAATGCCTGACTGAAGGCTGTTAGACATTCACTAACCTGCCACACCGTCACGTGGAAGCTCCTGCTATAGGCATGAAGATGAACAGGCCCAAAACATAACCACCATCCAGAAAGGAAAGAGTTTGGTCCATATTTACATGAGAACGTCACACAGCTGCTGGAGACTGTTTGTCTGCACATTGATGGTGTGAATGTCTGAGCACAGTGGACACACTGTTATGTGCAAGAAATCAAGATGATTTCAGTTAAATGACAAAGCAGCAATCAGGAGGATTGCTGTCCGATGTTTAGCATCTCTAATATCTCTAGCACCACATCACAAGTCTGCAAGCCAAGCATATGCTCCTCTTGCTGTCTGCATGTGCGCTGACGTCTTACTCTGCTGACTTTGCTTGCAAGTTTACTGGTTTTCATTAAGTCACGAGATTTTCATTCTCAAAGATGAGATCGGCCTGAACATGTCATTCTTAGAAAGAGAAAACATGCAAATATATGAGGACCAACACAGTTTCTAAAAACCTAAACCAAAAGACCAAAATAATATTATTCTATTAGTTCTAACAGAAAAGAGATAAAAAGACACCGAGGCAGAAAGAAGAGCTTAGCATTTATTATTTATCGTGGAGCAGAATAAACTTGATGGTTGCAGACAGAAAAAAAACGGTATAATCACCATGTTTGTTTCCCTATAACACTGCATGTGTGTGCGCACGGCGTAGCTAGCAGCCTGTGGACTGGTCCAGCAGGTCTAAGCCTGCGTGCTGCTCGTCATCCTGTCACAGTGGATGACTCCTGACGCGACAGCAGCTGCTCTGGCCTCAAATACCCCTGAGACAAAGAGAAGAAAGGAGGGTGATAGATGGAGGAGAGGAAAGAACAAGAGTGATATCGCAAAAGATGGTGAAAGAGTGTGTGTGTGTGTGTGTGTGTGTGTGTGTGTGTGTGTGTGTGTGTGTGTGTGTGTGTGTGTGTGTGTGTGTGTGTGTGTGTGTGAGAGAGAGAGAGAGGTATGTCAGCAAAGAGCCTCGATTTCCCCAGAGATGTACTGACAGAGAGACAGATTGATGAAAACACAGAGAGCTTGGAGTTTGGAAAGCAGGCAAGTGCCAATTCCTCCTGCTAGAGTGGACAGCTTCCAACAAGCCCTGCAGCACACAATGCCACCAGGATATATCTGAAGAAGCTTTAAACTAAAGGAGTAAAAAGCAGACTGAGCATCAAAGTAGAGGCTGGGAAATGTTATAATTTGCTTTCCTTGTTTGTGAATCCAAAGCAGGAAATTGTGACCTGCTTGTTGTTCCTCCTTCACCGTTTAGCTAGAGTAAGGTGCTTCAAACAGTTTTGTATTTGTGGTTAAAAAGCAAATGATTTCTCATGACTACAGTGATCCCAGAAACATGAAACAGCAGAACGTTAGAAGCCATGGCTGATCTCAACATAAAGACCTGATACGTGATGATGTGTCTGCTGCACAAACTTTAGAGACATGATACAGACTCTAACTGGAGCTGCTGGTATTTGTTCTGCGTTTGGTAACTCTCATGCATGTGGTGCTTATTCATCACAGTGGTGACATATTGAACTATTGCTTGTCTTTACTTTGTTGAGCCGTACTTGTCATAATTATTATATTATATCACCAGATCAACTTGTTTTTTATGTGTTGCTGATCAAACCATTTTGGCTCAAATCAGTTTGATATTAAATGTCCCTCGACCAAAGTAACGAGCCTTTTTAGAGATTCTAGTACAAAAGAATAAAGTCTGCACAGGCACAGGTCACCATCAGGTGCAATGTACTGTTTATAGCAGGGGTCACCAACACTGTGCCCGTGGGCACCAGGTCGCCCGCAAGGACCACATGAGTCGCCCGCAGGCCTGTTCTAAAAATAGCTCACCATAACAACTTACCAGTAAGCTGCATCTATTTTTATTTTTTCTTGCTATGTTTTTATCACAATTGCATTGGTGTCAATTTGTTAGAGATAATATATAAAAAAATGTTTATTATTAAATTAGATCAGTGCTAGCTGGTCTCCACGGAAACAGTTGCCGTGAAGACCAGCAAAGGTGAGGAGATGAGGAAAACATGGCGGAAAAAAGGAAGAAAACATATAATTTTCACAGTGAATGGGAGGAAGAGTTCTTTTCTACCACTGTGAAAGATTCATGTGTGTGTCGCAATTGTGGCAACGGCAAAGCGGCACAACGTGGAGAGACATTTCCGAACGTGTCACACAAGCTACCATGCTAACTACCCAAAGGGCAGCACACTGCGAGCGGAAAACGCCCACGAGTTAAAGGCAGGTTTGAGCAAATAGCAGTCTTTTTTCACGAGACCAGTGAAAAACTCCCAAAAAGCAACCGAAGCCTCATTTAGAGCTACACAGTTCATGACTAAGAAAAAGAAGGCATTTTTAGACGGGGAGTATTTCAAAGAAGCAATGATGATAATTGCAAAAACTGTGCTTAAAGACGAGAAATATGGAAACGATGTAATCTCCACTCTCTCTGATGTCCAGCTGGGGGCAACTACAATTGTTAGAAGAGTGTCGGCTATGTCCGGGAACTTGGCCGATCAGTTGGATCAGGATCTGGCAAAGTGCAGTTGGTTTAGCATCCAGTGTGACGAGTCCGTCGACAGCAGCAGTACAGCACAGCTGATGGTCTTTATCCGGATGGTATTTGATGGTTTCTCCACAAAAGAAGAACTTCTGACACTACTGCCGC